AAAAAATCATGATCTGTCCTAGCCGATCTGCTGGCCTGTGAACTGAAAGGTCCCAGGTTAATTCTGGTCAAGGCCACATGCCTGGGTTGTGGGCTCCATCCCCAGTGGGGAGGCGGCACGCAGGAAGTAGCCAATCAACGATTCTCTTTCATCACCGATGTTTCTCTCTCTCTCCCTCTCCCTTGTTCTCTGAAATCAATAAAAAACATTTTAAAGAAGAAAAAAATCATGATCTAATTACATGCATGGTCAATAAAATTCCAAGCAGACATAGCAATGCTGAATGTGTATGCACCAAACTATAGAAAGTATACTTTCAACAATAAAGATTTAAAAATAAAACAAAATACCTAACATTTCATTTTATCTCCAAGATAAAATTTTAGCAATGGAATGCTAAAACCCTACCACAGAACATACACCTGGGAAGCTGTGTCTCAGGAAGTCGTTGTCATCGTGGCCTCTAACTGGACCAAGCCTGAGCCCTCCTTCCTGGAGCTCAGATCCTTCTCCTCTGTTTCCTGTGCCCTTCCCACTGTGCTGCCCCTCAAAGGAAGGCAACTAAGGTGTTACCTCCAAGGGAGAAAACCTGCTTTGGCCTAAGACTGCTGTATCCAAGTTGCACAACTTACTTCTTGGTCCCATTTTCTTCAAAGGTAGGAAGAGAATGAGAGGAACACCATTCATGGCACACTAGAGGTCTGTAAGCATCTTGAGGCCTGGGCCTGTGTGCACCCTTTTCATCTTACACTCTCAGATGAGGACAGTGCCAGAATAGAGTGGGCGCACAAATATCTGTAAGTGAGTATGTGGATATCTGCTTTCCTTCCTTTCCTTGTTCTAATACCTTATTTCTTCCTCATATTCCTGTTGGTTCTCGAAATTAAAAATTTACTTGCAGCTATTAGGTGATACCAAAATTCTTAGGGAAATATTTATGAGAACATATGTTGGGCCCAACACAGTCACATTTCATTGCTCTGCTGCTGGTAGTGGCCCTCCACTCTCCTTCTTCTGAAAGGCTCTGCCTGCAATATCTATTTTTTTCTATTTCTTTCCACATCCTAAATAGCCACTCCCAAGTATTATAGGCAGAAGCTTTCTCCTCCACCATCCTCTGCCTTCCCTTGCAGCCAGGTTTCTTCCTCTTATTCCAGGAAATGTTCACTGGAAATGCTGACATGTGCCTCACAAATCTCTGAGACTCATCAAATAACCCTCAACTAACTGGGGGAGTCTCAAAAAGGGCATTTAATGTCCCAAGATATTGCAGGGAGTGGTGAAGAGCAAGTACTCAGATTATTACTTTCAATCTTCCCAAAAGCTTAGCCAGATTTAAAAAGACAACACAACCTACACTAAACTTGGTAAATATTTTTAATATAACAGGCTTTGGTTCCCCAAATCACCACCTGACAAACTAGATGTTGCCAAAGAGTCCCACTGAATCTCTCCATCCCTGTCATCAACATCTTATTTAAATATGTTGGGTTCTTGCTAAAAAAGAATCAAGTGTAAATTTTAAAAGAAAAAAGAAAACCTTTGTTATTACAGTAAATGGTCTCCAAAATAATTTATTTTAAACTAGAGGTCTGGTACACGAATTTGTGCATCAGTGGGGTCCCTTGGCCTGGCCTGTGGCATCAGGCCGAAACCAGTTCTCCAACATCTCCCAAGGGGTCCCAGACTGCAAGAGAGCACAGGCCAGGCCAAGAGACCCCACCACTGTATTGTACAATGAGGGGTGGGGAGGGAGGTGGGAGGTTAACCAGCTGGGGAGGGACTGAGGGAAGGCTCCAGGGTGTATCTGGACCATCTTGCTCAGTCCCGATCGGCCGGACCCCAGCAACAAGCTAACCTACCAGTCGAAGTGTCTGTCCCCTGGTGGTCAGTGCATGTCATAGAGACTGGTCGAATGGTCAACTGCCCCCCAGTGGTCAGTGCACATCAATAGTGAGCGGTTAAGCAGCCTTAGCATATCATTAACATATTACACTTTGATTGGTTGAACAGATGACCGGATGATTGGACACTTAGCATATTAGGCTTTTATTATATAAGATGAATCCATCAACATCCAAAGAAAATAAAAATCAGGGAATAAACTCAATATTTAATATTAATATTTAATTGTTAACACTAAATTGATTAAATAAATATATGTAACTATTCCTTTAAATAAATGCAATTACTTTCCCAGTAATTCCTAGGTATATTTTTAAATTCTATCCTTAAATGAACTTTAACATTATTTTCAACTATTTCTCTAATCATGTCTGTGTTCCTGCCAATATCATGTCCTTAACTTTGCCCAACTCTATATATGTATCTCCCATTTCAATCTGTGACCCCCTCTCAGTTCAGGCACCTCAGTGTGCTTTGCGGGGAAGGAACCCTGGACTAAAAAGTCAGCAGTCTGAAGTCAATAGTACTATTTCAGCCACTGGTTAATTAGGAGCCTTGACTATGCCATTTAATCTCCCTTCCCTATAAAACAAAGGTAGTCAGCCAGGTGACTCCTACAATAAAGGACAACAAGGAAGCATGAAGTCTGGGTTTGTTAGGTGTGTTAGGTTTCTATGCCAGTCAGGATCTCCAGGCTTATCTCTGAGCCTGATCAAAGAGCTGGGGCTGATCAGCAGCCCCTAAGGAGGCCAGGAGAGAAACAGAGACATGGCTGCTGCCAACACTGGGAGAGAAAGAGAGAGACAAAGGCTGATCAACAGCTACCAGAGATGCTGAGGATCAGACCCTGCCTCTCTCCCTGCAGGCCTCTCTCTGGGCCTAATTCACAGCCCCCTCTGCAGTCAGTGTTCGGTCGAGCCTTGGTCATTATGGACCCTGGCTCTTTATATATAAAGTAATCAGGATCTCTCTTAGGGGGTAAAAATAAAAGGGCAAACATCAAGATCTATTAGGTATCGGGTCTAGTAATAATTAATGTCGTTTTTAAACATTAGTTTAAAATCTTGCTTGGCGTTGACTTGTATTGACATAACCTTCAAACACGTGGTATCTACAGAACGTGTGAAGTGCAATTAACAAGTTTTGCTTGAAAAAGTTTGTGTTTGGTTTGGTTTTTGTGGCAAAACTAGGGCTAAGAAGATGGCGGATGAAGAGCATATTCGGCACTGCATGCTTTACGAGTTTCAATTAGGAAGAAAAGCAAGTGAGGCTGCAAAAAACATCTGTAGTGCTCTTGGTCAAGATGCAGTTAGCGCCAGAAAATGCCAACGTTGGTTTGAGAAATTTCGCGAGGGAAATTTTTCGTTAGATGACAAGAGTGGTCGAGGCCGTGTCCAATTTTGATCAAGAAGCTCTTCAAGCTCTTTTGGTGCAAAATCCTCAAATTACCCAACAAGAGCTTGCGACAACTTTAAAGTGTTCACAAAAAACAATTTCCAATCAATTGCGTGCACTTGGCAAAGTCCAAAAGTTTGGAAAATGGGTTCCTCATGAGTTGACTGACAACAACCGTAATCAAAGAGTCACAATTTGCAGTTCGCTCCTCTCTCGTCAAAACCGTTTGCCGTTTTTAGAGCAAATTGTTACCGGAGATGAAGAGTGGGTGTTGTATGTTAATCTGAAAAGGCGGCCTCAATGGTTGGACAAAAATGAGGCTCCTCAGCCCACGCCAAAACCTGACTTGCATGCGAAAAAAGTGATGTTGTGTGTTTGGTAGAATTTTAAAGGAATTCTTCATTATGAACTTTTACCATCTAACCAAACCATTACAAGTGCAGTGTATAGTGCCCAATTGGAAAGGTTAGCCCAAGCTTTAAGAGAAAAAGAACCCGCGCTGATTAATCGGAAGGGCGTAATTCTTCACCACGATAACGCACGACCGCATACTGCAAGAATCACTGCTGAAAAACTGTGCCAGTTGGAATGGGAAGTTCTCCCTCAACCTGCATATTCTCCTGATATTGCCCCTTCCGATTACCATTTGTTTCGTTCTTTGCAAAACTTTCTTCTTGGAAAAAAATTTAATAATGAAGAATGCCTCAAAAATGCATTGACTGATTTTTTGCATCAAAATCACAAGAATTTTACAACAGAGGAATTAAAATGCTTCCTGAGCGTTGGGCACAAGTAGTAGAAAACAACGGCAACTATATTGTTGATTAAATTTTGTTGTATTGTTTAAATAAATTCGATTTAAAAAAGTATTAGAAAACGACATTAATTATTACTAGACCTAATAGTGTATATATATATGGGTTCTTGTTCATTTGTGCTACTAGGATTTCACTGCCAAAATAAGGCAAAAGAAGAGTCAAGGCTGGGTTACTACACTTTCTCTTAACAAGAAGTAGCTACTTGTAGCATATGCCATAGGATAAGGATTGTGGCCATCTGATGACTCTGGCTCAGACAACCTGAACTAAATTTAAAAAAAACTCAGGTTAAATTATGGTCAGTGTATTTTAGTACTAACTATGTTTTGAGATGTAACCTTGCAAAACAACGAAGAAAAGATTGCATGGTTATTTTCTACAAACTATTACCTAACCATGTCTAAAACATAACCTTTACTGCCTATTTCCTAATTCATTTATACTTCCTAACAGCCTCAACATTTGAGAAATTCTAATAATAAAATCTATTTGAAAAATTTCAACAACAACAACAAAAAGAATACATGGCATTATATATTTTCAGAGTCATTTGCTGCTAAAAGGAAGGCTGCGTTTTGGACTTCTCTTTCTTTAAGGGTATGGGGAAATAATACTCATAAATATACTAGGCAGTAAGAGAAGACTAGACACTCAAATAAAATGGGTTGCAATATGCAGAATGGAAAAGCTATTAAATGCACATTCACTTATGTAAGACACACAAGACAAGCTTAGAAAGCACATACACACCTACGAGACAAGAAAAAGACAACTTAAAAAAAATTAACCACCATGGCCGATTCACAATGTTAGAGATCAGAGTAAAAAAGGTGAACAAAACATCGAAACAGTAAATGACAAGAAGAGGGGTTAATTACTTACAGGAATTCTTCTCCAGGAGGTTTGGGTATATTTATCGACATATGTGCATTTTTCTTCTTTAGATTTTTGGTGGCAGTTACACCGTGTTGCCTGGACAAAAACACAAATTTTTATACTGGTATAATTTTTCACATCCCTATGCGTGGACAAACAAAGTAATCAGGATCTCTCTTAGGGGGTAAAAATAAAAGGGCAAACATCAAGATCTATTAGGTAGTCTCCTGTCTTATTCAGAGATTGGATTCTAGAGTCAACTTACAATTTTGAATAGTTTAAATTACCGTTGGAAATCTCTTTTATTATGCATAAAACACACTACCTGACTTTACATATATAGATACAGTACTATATATATAGATGTAGAATATATATAATAATATATAGTATCTAAAGAATACAATTGTAAGATTTTAAATATTTCCCTAAACTATGATGCTACTACAACAACTGCAGTACAATTCCTTAAATTCACTTTTGATTGGATTCTACTGGATATTAAATATGCCAGCCCACAAATAAGCTTGTCTTTTCACATGCCCAGTGCTTTCAAGCTCCTGTAAGGATGTGCTGAATTCATTGGATTGGGAAGCTGAAGGGTCTCTGCCCTTTGACAAGACCTATTCGGGCATCTCAGGTCACAAATGCATTCTCTACATATGATTCTCCTCAAGCATATTTACTGAGTCACTTACACACACAAAGTAATGTGTCTATTGTGTAAACTTTGGTCTTTCAAATAAATACCAATTTTTTTAAAAAATAAAAAGACTGATAATGAAAAAATTTTCTTTAGTGGGAAGTTGGAATATAACCTTATTATTTGTTAAATAACTCCAATAGAGGTAAATATACTTTCTTGTAGGGATACCTATATAGCAAATTCTTGATTATTGCACAAGCTAAAATTATAAGCTTATACTTCAAAAATAATTACTTGTAGGGAGTGGTTATAGAGTTAAGCCTCGGACTGACATGCTGGCAAAGTCGCAAAGAAGTCCCAGATTGGCGGGCACAGTCCTCTAAGTATAATTAAGCTTGATCTTGTGACTGCTCCCTAGATCTTTCCTGGGTAGCTAATGGGCTGTGAGGGGGCAGCAAGTGCTGCCAAAACAAGTGAAACTTACAAGAACATTGTAAGTTACCTTGTTTGTCCCTGATTATAAATAAAGCCTCACCTTTGCAGTCTGGATCTGTTCTGTGGCCTCAGCCAGGCACAGAAGATCCACTTAGACCCAGCTTATTATCTTTGTCTGTCTTTTTTCTCCATCCTTCACCGCCCTTCCTCAGGCTCGCTGAACCCTTGGCTGTGCTGGCGTGGCCCAATTAACAATATTCAAAGTTTATCTTAATTGCAATTGGGTCATTCCAATTTCCATTTATAAAATAAAATCTAATTAAAACAAAAAGATATCTGTAAGTAGTGATATTTTCCATTTCTTGTAGTACAGACATATTTCCAATTCCTAAGAAATGAGATGGTCATTGAAACAAAATCCTATGTAATAAAAGGGTAATAAGCAAATTGACCATCACTCCAACACATAATATGGTCATCCTCATGTGGTCAAAGATGGTTGCCCCATGTGGACACAAGATGTCTTGCAGGGGAGGGAAGTTAGGGGTGACCAGGCCTGCAGGGGAGGGCAGTTAGGGGTGACCAGGCTGGCAAGGGAGGACAGTTGGGGGCAACCAGGCCTGCAGGGGTGGGCAGTTGGCGGGGACCAGGCCTGCAGGAGAGGGCTGTTGGGGGGGTACCAGGCCTGAAGGGAAAGGCAATTGGGGGCAACCAGGCCAACAGGGAAGGGCAATTAGGGGCAGCCAGGCTGGCAAGTGGGGGAAGTTAAAGGTGACCAGGCCAGCAGTGGATGGCAATTAGGGGCAATCAGGCAGGCAGGAGAGCAGTTAGATGTCGATCAGACTGGCAGGGGAGTGGCTGGTGGGTGATCAGGCAGGCAGGCAGAAGCGGTTAGGGGGAATCAGGCAGGCAGACTGATTGGTTGGGAGCCAGAAGTCCTGGGTTGTGAGAGGGATCCCAGATTGGAGAGGGTGCAGGCTGGGCTGAGGGTTATATACACCTCCCGCCCTCGTGCACGAATTTCGTGCACCAGACCTCTAGTTCAATATATAATTGACTATTACAGAATGTAGAATTTAGGTGTGTCAACCTCCTGGCAGTTGAAAATCTGCATATAACTTTTGATTCCCCCAAAGGTTTACTTACAGCCTTCTGTTGATCAGAGCTATAATAATTGATTAACACATATTTTGTATGTTATAAGTATTATATATACTGTATTCTTTTTTTTTTTTTAATCTTCATTATTTTAAGTATTACACATGTCCCTTTTTCCCCCATCGACCTCTTCTAGACCACTGCCACCCCACCCAGGCCTTCACCACCCTATTGTCTGTATCCATGGGTTATGCATTATAAGCATACAAGTCTTTGGTTGATATCAGATGAATGGATATATACTATATTCTTATAATAAAGCTCCAGAAAAGCAAATGTTAAGAAAATCATAAGGAAAATACACTTACAATACTGTATGAATTTACTGAAAAAACAAACTGTGTATAAGTGGACCCATACAGTTTAATCCCATGTCATTCAATTTAAGAGTCAACTTAAGAATCTCTAGGTATTCACTCCAATAGGACTTTTCACATATATAGGAGGTGTGTAAAGAAGGAAAGATAATATAAACCATTCATCTTAAGCCAAGCATATATGACTTATTCTCTCTACTCTAGTGCAATTCTGGAAATAAGTTCGTCTCTGTGTGTGTGTGCTATCAGATGAAGAGTAAGAATTGGCAAGTACTTGAGTTTTCCATAATTAGGAAAACCTAGTTTTTAGTAATATGTTTTTCATTTCCAACAAAGATCTTTCTTGGCTTGTTGGTATTTTTATGCCATCATGTTCTTGTTATCCTGGCCTTTTATATTATTAGAAACTAAATTATATTTAATTTGGAGACAGTGTATGTATTTTCATGTTTGGATCTGTAACCACTATACAATTATAAAGATTCTCCTCAGCATCACCCACGGAGGAGAACCACTTCCTTAGGACACTCTTCACGGTCTCCAACAGACAGCCATATGGGTATAGAGTCTGATACCCAGTGTCCTTCTGCTACCACAGAGAGAAAACTCCTTGTTCTCAGCTCACCAGTACTCACTTCTTTAAAAACACATTAAGGAAAGGCATTTACCCTTTACTGATAAAATGATTGCAAATCGGTGAATTTAAAAACCCCAAAACATAAGGCCACTGAAAATGAACGGACAAAGATTTTCTTTTCACCTTGAATGTTTACTATTTAGACTGTAAGTTGAACCACATACTTTTAGAGTGCACATCATCTAAAAATAACATAAAAGTGCAACTTTGAAAGCCAAAAATAAAGTCAAGTTTAAATTCTGACTATAGTTTTATATTGCCCAGTTTAAAAAGTCTTCACTTCACATACTGTACTATAATACTTACAAGCTGATGTTCTAATAGTTGGATTTTTTCATCTTTTTTCTTTATTTCCTCTTTAAGTTGTTTTATTTCAATTAATAAATCTTCATTCTGAAACATTACAAAAATATTTAACATGAAGTATTTAATGACATTTAAAATACTCTAATGAGAAAAATTAAATCAAGATTGAGCAATGATTCACTTATTCAAGGTAAAAATTGTTCTTAAATATTCCAGCTATTAGCTTATAAAAAGAACACAAAAAACACATTTTAGTGTTCTATGAATTCATATTCTAATGGAATTTGATGTGTAAAAAATGAAAAATAGCAGCAACAGCTAACATTCATGAGTACTCAACAGGGGCCAAGAACTAAGTACTTTCAGGTATCAACACATTTTATCCTGACTACAACCCTGAGGCAGGTACTATTATCTCCATTTTACAGAATAAAACACTGGGACACAGGCCATATGGTACAAGTCACATACAAACAGTCCAGCTAAGTTTTAAGGGATGTATTAGATGTGCCTGTCACTGAAAACGAAGGGCACAAGCAGCAGAGGGAACGGTATTGAAAGGAAGAGTCATTTCATAGCTGGTTCCAAAATCAGCAGAGCCCTGGCCAGTGTGGCTGTTGGCTGGGCATAACCCTGTGCACCAAAAGGTTTCCAGTTCGATTACTGATCAAGGCACATGCCCAGTATGCAGGCTCGGTCCTAAGTAGGAGTTGTGCAGGAGGCAGCCGGTCAATGTTTCACTCTCACATGGATGTTTCTCTTTCTCTTATCATTTCTCTAAAAATAATAAAAAATATTTTTAAAAAGATTATTTTTTGAGAAGCCACTTTTCTGAAAACTGCTTGAGTCAACTTAATAAGAAATTCTTAATAGTATTAAATGGAAATCTATTATCAACTTAAGCCAGAATCCTGTTATATTTTTAAATATAAAGTATCATTACCCTATAGCTAGTCTATTTTGTTTACTACTATTCAATTACCCAGAAATACACACTGAAGAAGTAGTGCAAGCAAGGATACTAGAATATACATCCTTGCTTGCACTACTTCTTCAGTAAGATATATATGTCTTACACACACACACACACACAGTATGAATAATGCTATTCTGTTTCCAGCGAGAAAAACATGTAAGCAAATAATTAGGATGTATTGTTACTGAGCAAAGGTATGCCAACTCCTTCAGATCTGTTAGGAACAAAAAGACTTGCAGTTTCTTTAGCAAGAGATCAGAAAAGGATATTTTACAAAGACTTTAACATAGCAAGTAAGCATTACAATGAAGGAGAAATTATTTGTTAAAATGCTGTTATGTAAGTAGGAAGCAAGCCACATAGAAAGTTTTTACCATAATGAAACGTTTGGGTTTGAGCCACATGCAAGGGAACGTTTGGGTAGATTCCAAGCAGAGGCATTATTTACTTGCATTTTTTAAAAAATATATATTTTATTGATTTTTTTACAGAGAAGAAGGGAGAGAGATAGAGAGCCAGAAACATCGATGAGAGAGAAACATAGACCAGCTGCCTCTTGCACACCCCCTATTGGGGATGTGCCCGCAACCAAGGTACATGCCCTTGACCGGAATCGAACCTGGGCCCTTTCAGTCCACAGACCGATGCTCTACCACTGAGCCAAACCGGTTTCGGCTACTTGCATTTTTTTAAAGGTCACTCTGAGGTCTTTGGCATTTTATGTAGAGAGTAGAAAAGACTAAGAAAGCAAGCGAATGATCTGTATGAAGCTATTTCTGAAATCTACAAAAGAAATGTGATATATGAAGAGGAAAGAATATCTGAGCGATAGCTTTTTGAGGTAGAACTCATAAGGTTTATTAATGGATTGGTTGCAATTGTCTGAGGGAAAAGAAAAAAAGTAAGAATAATTTTACATTTTTGATTTGAACAAGTGAATAGAGGGCTCTTTCTATGGAGCTGGGTAAGAGACGAAATACCTGTGTTTCCCCGAAAATAAGACATCCTCCAAAAATAAGACCTAGTGCATGGAAAAATAAGACATCCCCTGAAAATAAGATCTAGCGCATCTTTGGGAGCAAAAAATAATATAAGACACTGTCTTATTTTCGGGGAAACAGGGTAGCAATTTGGTAAGGGGTGTGAGGAGATTAAGCAAGAGCTTCCTTGGTCTCTGACTTTTGTCAACTGAGCAAACTGGAATTTCTTTGATCTGGCAGAGAGAGGAGAGAAATCATGTGTTTATTCCCTATCACATTTCTTTTTTGTTTGTTTGTTTGTTTTTAATCCTCACCGAAGGATATTTTTCCAATGATTTTTAGCGAGAGTGGCAGAGAGGGAAAGACAGAGAGAAATATCAATGTGAGAGAAACACATCAATTGGTTGCCTCCTGCATGAGTCCTGACCAGGGCTGGGGTCTGGGAGGAGCCTGTAACCAAGGTAAGTGACCGGAAACGAACTGGGACTTTTTGGTCTGCAGACCTACACTGAGCCAAACTGGCTAGGCCCCTATCTTAAAAAAAATCCTATATAATAAAAGGCTAATATGCAAATTGTCCCCTCAGGAATTCGAATGGCCAGGAGATCTACTGCTCACTATGACCACCAGGGAGCAGTGCAGAATGGAGGAAGGCCCCAGCTAGCAGCTGGCAACTAGGGGAAGGAAGGCCCCAATAAGCACTGATTGAGGGCCAGACCTAGGGACAAATTTCATGAAATGGCCCTCTACTAATATTAACAAAAAATAAATAAAATTCTGTTATGTATACTGAAATTGGAAAACTCTTTATCCTACCTAATCTTACCTAGTAAAAGAGTAATATGCAAAATAACCACCACTCTGCTACACCCACAAACCACACCCACCAGCCAATCAGAACAAGTATGCAAATAAACTCAACCAAGATGGCTAAGCCACAGAGAGCAGGAAGGAGGCTTGGGTGTCCTAGGCAACGGAGAAAGCCAAGCTTTCCTCCTGCCCTCCACTCAAAGCTACAAAGTTTCAATTATAGAAGATAAACAAATCCAAACAGAAATGGCGGCAGACATGGAGCAAGCAGAAGGCTTGGCTCCACTCCAGGCTACAAAGTTTCAATTGTAGAAGGTAAATAAATTTTTGATACCAGGGCCTCTGCTTGGGTCCTGAGAGGGAGTGGCTGGCCTGAAAACCACCACAGGCCCCTTGCTCAGGCCGCCCCACACCCCAAGGGAACCCTCACCCTGATCCGGGACGCCCTTCAGGGCAAACCAACTGACCCCCACCCATGCAACAGGCCTTTATCCTATCTAATAAAAGAGTAATATGCAGATTGACCATCACCCCAACACACAATAGCTGCCCCCATGTTGTCAGAGAGGCTGCCCCCATGTGGACACAAGATGGCCACCACAAGATAGCCAGTAGGGGAGGGTAGTTGGGAGGGATCAGGCCTGCAAGGAAGGGCAGTTGGAGGCTATCAACCCTGCAGAGGAGGGAAGTTGGGGTCAAACAGGCTGGCAGGGGAGCAGTTAGACATCAATCAGGCTGGCATGGGAGTGGTTAGGGGGTGATCAGGCTGGCCGGCAATAGTGGTTAGTGGTAAATTAGAAAGGCAGGCAGGCGAGCAGTTGGGAGTCAGCAGTCCTGCATTGTCAGAGAGATGTCTGACTGCCTGTTTAGGCCCGATCCCAGTGGACATCCCTCAAGGGGTCCCAGATTGGAGAGGGTGCAGGCTGGGCTGAGGGACAGCCCCCCTCCACCCCCGTGTATGAATTTTGTGCACCAGACCTCTAGTTATATATAGAAAAGCTTTCCAGTTGAAATAAAGAGTTTAGGAATTTGAAAAATTCATAAATCAAGACCAAAAAAAGACAGATTGCAGATAATGAAAGATATGTTTTAAGCTATGTGGCAAATGATGCTATTAAAAATAATAACCATATTTAATTACATAAAATTTTAAAGCATGTATACAATTACCATCAAAGTTAAAAGCTGGAGAAAACCTAAGCAAACATGACAAAGGGTTTATATCTCAGTTCAGTAAAAGCCTGTTCAAACACATAAAACCATTTTCTAGGCTCCAAAAGACTAAGAGCCAGTCCTCACAGTATATGTCACTGGCAAAATGTTCTGTTTAACTTGGTGAAGAATGTAAAATAAAGATATTATTTTGTAAGTGTTAAATTTGAGAAAAATACCCAATGTGACTAACAAGATTGCAGGAAAATATGGCAATTATAAGATACTACAAAAGACAAATGTATGGTTATCCAAGATTCATAAAAATACTTGCAGTCTTTGACATTTCTAGGAATCTATGCCAAAGAAATGGTCCTATGTATGAGAAAACTTACAACAAGGTATTATCTGAAAGTTTACAAATATACACCTGTCCTATTGGGAACAATTGAAATTCAACTTGATGGAGTACTAGTTAGCCATCACTCAGTCAGTGTTAAGTTCTGCCACTGATGGAGGAAAGGACTCCAAAATGAAATCAAAATACAATTAGTAATAACATTGATAAACATCATATACATAGCACTCACGATATGACAGGCACTGCTCTAAGGATTTTACACATAAAGATCAGCAAAGGAGAATGCAACTGGGGATGGGTTAGCTCCAGGAGAGCTTTAAAGAATGAGTAAAATGGCCGAAACCGGTTTGGCTCAGTGGTAGAGCGTCAGTCTGCGGACTGAAAGGTCCCAGGTTCGATTCCAGTCAAGGGCATGTACATTGGTTGCGGGCATATCCCCGGTAGGGGGTGTGCAAGAGGCAGCTGGTCGATGTTTCTCTCTCATCACCATTTCTAGCTCTCTATCTCTCTCCCTTCCTCTCTGTAAAAAAATCAATAAAATATATTAAAAAAAAAAAAAAAAAGAATGAGTAAAATATTCTGAAGACACAGGAGTGTGACAGGTTTTAGGGTGAGAGAGGCTAAGCATTATAGACAATACAGAGATGAGGACAAGCACAGCACATTTGGAGAACTACAAATGGTGCCATGCACAAAAGCTGTGGTGGGAGCAATGTGGTTAGTTACTAGGCAATGGCCAGATCAGAGGGCCATGAGTATCAAGTATGGCCTAAGCCAGGAAGTGACACATGAATTTGCAGTTGAGATGTCTTTGACAGCTGTTTTGAAGACATACTTGACAACATCCACAACAAAACTAGACCAGGAAACTTATTGTCAAAATGTAATACTCCAGACCAGTAGAAACCTGACACACAACAGTGATAACAGAGGTGAGAAGGGAAAGGAATAAAATCAAATGAGAAGATTTTGGTGATTCGCTGGATGTGAGAGGAGAACACAGAGGAGCAGTCAACAGTGACATCTGAAGGAGTGACATGAGGAATGGAGGCCTAACGGAGTTCTTATATTGCCTTTTTCTGACACTTTCTCTTGCCATGAGGACCCCTAATATTTCAACCAAGTGAACAAAACAGGGATGGCCTGTTGGGTGAAAGACTATAGGGAGAGGAGCTACAGGCCCCGGGCAGCGAGCAGAGGCAGGAATGAGCCCAGCTGAAACCAGGGAAACAACCAGCGGAACCCAGCATGAAGTTCTAAAATCCAATCCTATCTAACAAAGAGGTAATACGCAAACTGACATCACTCCAACACACAAGATGGCCACCCCCCATTTGGACACAACATGGCCACCACAAGATGGCTGGCAGAGGAGGGAAGTTGAGGGTGATCAGGCCTGTAGGGAAAGGGCAGTTAGGAGGGACCAGGCCTGCAGGGGAGGATGGTTGAGGGGGACCAGCCCTGCAGGGGAGGGCAGTTGGGAGGGACCAGGCCTGTAGGAGAGGACAGTTAGGGCCCACCAGGCATGCAGGGGAGGGCAGTCAGGGATAACCAGGCTGGTTGGGGAGGACAGTTAGGGAAAATCGTGCTGGCAGGGGAGTAGTTAAGTGTTGATCAGGCTGGCAAAGGAGTGGTTAGAGGGTGATCAGGCTGGTAGGGGAGTGGTTAAGGACAATCAGGCAGGCAGACTAGCAGTTGGAAGCCAGCAGTCATGGATTGTGAGAGGGATGTCTGACTGCCCGTTTAGGCCCGATCCCAATAGTGATCCATGCATGAATTTCGTGCAGTCGGTGTCTAATTTTAGTAATAAAAAGAATTTTGAAAAATTCAGCATGACCTTGTATAGTTGATGGCCATCTTCTGGTTCCGGGCTAGATGGCAATGATAGCTGGATATCATGCAATGATCCACTCCCATCATGCTGTCAGAAGGAAGAAAAGGAAAATAGAGATTAATACATAACTGCGGGCATTCAGTTACCTTAATTCATCCCAGACTAAATGCTAGCACAGCAAAGAACAAATAGAAAACAAATTGTAGAAATGGCCCTTTCATCTCTACGCACTTGTAGAAGGAAATGTGGAAGAGCACGCCTGGCCAGGTGGCTCCATTGTTTGGAGTGTCATCCCATACATCAGGACACATACCTAGGTTGTGGGTCAAGGAGCATATGGGAGGCAGCCAATTGATATCTCTCTCTCTCTCTTTCTCTCTCTCTCTCTCCCCCCCTCTTCCCTCCCTCCCTCTTCCATTTCCTCTCTCTAAAATCAATAAAAACATATCCTTGGGTGAATAGTAAAAGGAACAAAAAATTTTTTGAAGTGGGAAAAAAGAAGAGCTAGGGCAAGAAAAAAAATTGTGAAAATAAATAACATAATATACTAGAGGCCCAGTGCATGAAAATTTGTGCACCTGGGGATGGGGGTGAGTCCCTCAGCCTGGGCTGCCACTTTCTCACAGTCTGGCCTCCCTCTGAGGGAGGTGCTCAGGCAGGCTGATTAGGGGGTGGTGCTGGCTGGCAAGTGGCAGCTCCACCCCCACCTCCTGCATCACCCTCCACTGATGTCCCCTCCCTCTGCCCGCTGGCATGCGCCTTGGCTGGCCTGGCGCCACCTGCTTGCTAGCCCCACCCCCCCTACCCCCGCCAACCAGTCATTATGCTGTTTGATCGATTTGCATATTACACTTTTATTATATAAGATGAGTAGGCAAAGCAAAACACCACTGAAACTTTTAGAATGGGAAAAGAAATATGACAAATTTTCTAAAGAATTTTAAGAGTCTCTCACCTATGAAAAATGTAAAATAAAAGTCAAATTAAATCTGCTTTGGTTTAGCTGTGGTGTTTGGGGGGTATAAACGAGTCAGAAACAGTAATATTAAGTAACTCAGCAAGGATTGGTCATAAAAACCATTTGATTAAAAATACTAGATACAGAGTATATATTCTGCATCTTCTATAAAGTCTTAGAACAGGCACAACTAACTAGTGGTGTCAGAAATCAGAGAACAGAGACTGACTCAAGGGGAAGAGGTCACGGGCTGGGAAGGAGCACTGTGGAGCCACCAGGGTGATGGAACCACATGCAGGGGGTGTGGTCACGTGCTATGCAGAGCCCCAGCTGTAGACCTAAGTTTGGTACAAGTGAAGCAGTACTGGACGTATGCTACACCTCAATTTTTAAAATTTGAAAAAATTTAATTTTTTGTCCTTAAACACAATAAAGAAAATGACAATATAATATTAAGTCCCTTGCCAAAATGGTTTGGAACAACCAGCTAAGAAATGCATGTTCAATGATTCGAGACAACCTCAAGAACGATGGCCAATGAAGAACACACCTGGGACATGGGGAGAAGCTGAGCCCCTCACCGAGGCAGGAAAACTGCACCATGTTTGCTCAGATGGTACTTAGCTGCCTTGGGAAACCCAGGGATTTGACAACCTTCAAGGAGCAATATGATCCCAATCTTCCTCAGACATATCTGTCCTAAAGGAAATCCCCCAGACCATGGAAACGCCTGGCATTGAAACAAGAGTGCCAAACAGGAGACATAAGCATGAAGGTCATCTTCCTCTTTATTTATTGTGCTGTGCATCTACTAAATCAGTAGCTAAAGGGATGGGGCCAAGGAATGTCGTAGATAGAAAAGTTCAATTGGTAATACTGATTGACAGTGAAAAAAATAAGTATTTGCCAAATAAATTCCCAGCATAAATGACATTTATTGGTGGTATCATAGGGACATCCAGAATTTGACTTGAAAGGGGAAGCAATGGCCTAATAAATAACAAATATTCTTATTCTCAGAACAACACCTTTAAAAAAAATGTTTTTCTACACGTGTTTTTAAAAAGAAAAATTTTATAAGACTCATGTCAGTAAAAAGTTCAGCTCTGCTGTAAATGAAACCAGGCCAGGCCTACATACAAGAATATATAATATTTGAGAAAAGAAAGGGACTTTAAAATTTGACTTAATTTCAAACATCGATAGTATCTTTCTGCCCATGTAAAGCAGGAACCTCAAGGAGTGAGAGACACACAAGAGCACACATTCTGCCTTGAGCATGTGTGTAGCTGTGGAACTAAACAGGAGACCGGGAAATATGAACATCAACTTTTAGGGGGAAAGAAAACCGGGAGTCCAGGGACTCAGATGACACCAGGGAGGTTGTGAAGTACCAGGAGCTCAGGAAAGCGACTCCAGAAAGTTGTGCCTGAGTTTCTTGGTTCTCCCATGAGTAGCACTTCTGCGATCTGATTCTAACATCAGATCAAAGACTGAGCATTGAACTAAGACCACTGCATAGGACCCGAACTAACCTCTGCCCAGTGTACACTCAGAACATAGCTGGAGAGTATGGCAGAGGCTTTGAAAACAGAACTGATGTTAAAACCACAATCCCAAGGTGGCTAGGTGGACTTGTAGCCTCAACCCAAGCAAACTGTTTGCCAGCTAAAAAAAAAAAAAAAAAATCAATATTCTCCAGAGCATTTAAACAAGATGAAGAACCAAAATTACTCAACATACAAACAAGGGAAATATAAATTCACAGGAAAAGACAGTCAACAGACATCAATGCCAAAACAAAATAGATATTGGGATTAATTGGAAGTGATTTTAATAGAGCTATTATAAGAATTCTCCAAAAGTAAAGTAGATTTTTGAATGGATTAAAAGAGAAGGTCTCAGTGAAAACGAAAAGTGAAAACAAATGGAAAATTTAGAACTAAAAAGACTTAATAACCAAAAACTTAAAATACATGAGATGGACTAAGTACCATTAGTGATGACGGAGTCAACTTTAAGGCAGATCAACAGAAATCATCCAACCTGAACAACAAAGAGATAAAAAGATTGGCAAAACCAACCAACCAACCAACCAACCAACAAACAAAAAACCCCACAAACAACCCCCTCCCCCAAAAAATAGAGCCTACTAAGAAAAATATATTTGAAGAAATAATGGTCAAACAAATATCTAATTTGGTGAAATTCATGAACCTTCACATTTGAGAAGCTCAATTTAAAAGAATAGAACATAGACAAAGTTTGCTCTCTGAACATAAAGGACTTTACCCAAACACTTGGGAGAGTAAACAGAAACTTCTAAATCACGCCTGAGTCAAAAGAAGAAGTCTGGGAGTAAACAAAAAAAGTACTTGGAATTGAAGGGAAATGAAGACAACTAAATACCAAAATTTGTGGAATGCAACTAAAGCAGTGCACAGCGAAAAAATTATTGTATGAGATTGTATGAGATTGTTTATATTAAAAGAAAGGGTGTTAACTCAGAACTGGAGCAAAATAAGCCCAGAATAAGCAGAAAAAAATAAAGAGCAGAAGTTAATGAAATTGAAAATCAACAAATAGAAATCAATAAACCAAAAACAGGTTCTTTGACAACTGCAAGGCCTCTGGAAAAACTGCCCAAGGGCAAAAGACAGAAAGCACCTTCAGACCCTTGCAGGGACACAGAAGACAGAAATCAGGCAATGGAAGCAGAAATATCATTATTGATGTGACGGGCATTAAAAGCTAGTAAGGCAATAATATTATGAGTGACTAAGCACACAAATTTGACAACTTATATGAAATGAAGAAATTACTCAAAAACTACAAACAAAACTCATCCAAAATGAAACAGTTTGAGTATATCTATAATTATTAGTGAAATTAATTCATAGCTTAAACCTTCCTTAAGAGAAAAATTGAAGGCAGATATTTTCTGGCAAATTCTTCCAAAATTTAAAGAAGCAATATCAATTCTGTACAATCTTAGAGAAAACAATCAAATTAAATTACTCAAATCAATGAATGTGGCCAACATTTTCCTGATAGCAAACTAAGACTCTCTAACAAGATTATAGGTCAGTAACACTCATGAACAGAAAAACAAAAGTCCTTTACAAATTCAACAATATATAAAAAAGATAAAGCATGAACAAGCAAGGCTGATGCTGGGAATGTAAAGCTGGTTCAATAGTTGACAAAGAATGTAATTTACCATATTAAGAGAAAAAAAGGCCAACCCAACAGATACAGATAAAGTTTCTGAAAATGATAAAAACTCAGCAGCAAAGTAGAAATAGAAGTTGCTCAACCTGATGAAATTCTTCTAAAATAACCTACAGTTAACATCATATTTAACAGTAAAAGATAATGGTTTACCCCTAAATCCAGGAACAAGGCACTCCTAGTCACAACTGCACTCAAGTTTCTACTCACTGCAATAAAGTGTGTGTGTGTGTGGGGGGGGGGGGGGGGGGGGGGGGTGAGACAAGTAGGAAAGGAATAAAACCATCTCAAGTCAGACAGTATAATTTTTGTTGTAAAAAATTCCCAAAATATCTACAATACTACTAGAATTAATTCATGATTTATGAAAGTCACAAGATATATGACCAATATACAAAAATCTACTATCGATATGGCAGACTACAACTAAAAATTACAGTTTTAAAAAATGACTCAAATAAACCCAAATCTACAAAACAAAAGACAAACAAAACCAAGAAAAATCAAAATCTAAAATTTAAAAATATATATCTAGGTACAAATCTAACAAAATATAGACAAACCTTCTATATTAAAAACAAAAATATTTGATAAAGAAATCAGAGGTGACCTAAGTAAAGAGGCACACTGTTAATATATTAAAAGATAGTATTATTGAAATGTCAATTCTCTTCCATATTTGCTACAGATAAGTACCCTCCCAACCAAAATCCTAGAATTTTTTTTTAAGAAATAGAAAAGCCACTTCTTAAACTTATCATAAAAGAGACATAAAAACTAAAACAATCAAGCAATTTTGAAAAGAAAAACAAAACTGGAGGAGTCACATTACTTCATCTCTTGCATGACCCCGTCCCGTAGGGCTTGATGGGGGACCTCAGGATGCACCCTCAGCCCC